GTTGTGCCCGGGCACAGGCCCGGCCCCGCTGCGTGGCCGGCGGGTGGGCAGGGCCGGACGCCTCCCTCCGCTCGTGTGCCGATGTAAGGTGCCTCCCGGTGGGGCACTGCCCGGCGACCCCTCTGTTCTTCCTACCCCAGTCAGTCGTGTCTTCCTTTTGCATCTCAAAATTTCTGCCTTGCCAAGTTGCCCTTTCATGGCCACTTCGCTCTGCGATCACCCTCTTCTCGGGGGACTTCTAAGGCTGGCGTTTACAAAAACCGATCTCTACTCGGAGCTCTTCTAGTTCAAAAAAGCACCAAGCACTTCGTCATTTTCCTTTCCATCAAGTGTACAAAAACGGCGAAAAGCCTTGCCTTTTGCTGGAATGTATTTGATTAGTTAAAATTGACTAATTACTGTAAAGTACACCTTTGATCATACTTCATGGAGTTTTGAAGTAGCATCCCTTTAAGTTACTAGTTATTCCTTTACTGAAATGTTCTGATCTGTTTTTCTAGGAGAATTTTAACTATGAAAGTTCTAAAATATTTGATGTAAGAGGAAGATACTGTATTTTCATATGCAAGTGCATTGTTCTTCACAATTGAACTATCAAGGAAAAAAGTAACTCTAGCAGAATCTGCCCCAGTCTAGTAGTAGAATGAACACAGTTAAAGCACATTGGAGTAGACTTGTCTTAAATTCCCATTTATATCTGAAGTTGTAGTACTGATAATAAGATTTTTCACAGTGCTTGCATGAGGAAGTGCTTTGTTTCACATTTCTCTTGTATGTCAAAAATAGTTCTAATAGTAAAAATATTTTAATCTTTATAAAAGTAGTTTTATTGTTATGAATAATTGGAGTATTATTCTGGTCTTAATTTAGAAAGAAGACAGATGTGACTACATAATAATTAATCAGAAGTAAATGCTTTATTATCTTAGTAGCTAAGATAATTAAGCAATATTTGCTAAGGATGACCCTTTTAAAAATGAAACTCAGTTTTATTCATGAGTTCTTAGAGTTGTCTGGCCTTTGCCTCAAGTTGGTTTTGGTGAACTGCCATTTCTCCAGTTTTTGGAATTTTCCTGGTTTCTTATTCAAAATGGGAAAATGGCATGGCCAGTGAAACCTGTAGATCACTTTAGTTCCTGTCCTCTGTAAAACTAATGAAGGGATTGTTATGAGTTCTATTTGTTTATCCCTCCTTATCATTACTTCTGTCTTTGGTTGGTTGTTTGAAGATATTCTCAACCAAGGCTGATTTGATTCCTTGAAGAGTTTATTAATCTGCTTGATGAAGCAAGCTAATTAAATCTGAATATCTAAAGTTGCATAAGGTAACTGATAGGAAATTTTATTAACCCCTGTTATATGTACTTAATTTGGGGCATTTCAATATAAATGAAGTGAAAATTGAAATCAATTGGAAACTGTTAAGTACTATTTCTGCAAAATTTTCTGGGAGTTTGGGCAGGGAATAATTCTATTGTGATGATGTAATTTTGTTCTGTAAGTTCTGTTATATCAACTGGTTTCCAAATTTTTAATTAATCTGAAGATTAAAAATTCTTAAATAATGGTAAGCGTGCGTCGCCATGTAAAGATAATACATGTTAATTAATGATAATACATAATAATTGTTAAGCTGGTAATGTGTTCTAAATAGATGAAGTGAAAAGTTAACTAGTGTCAGACTTCTAAGTTATTTCCATTACAATTAATTTAGGGGACATAAATACATTTAAAAAATTTCTGCTGCTAAAATCTGACACTCAGTTTGCTAAAAGCTGTATTTGCAACTGAATGCAATATGTATAAAATAAATTTTTGTTGGAAAGGCAGTTTAGCCAGTTTTATCATGATATATACTTCATTACATTCATTAGTTGTTGTTTTTTCTCTTCTGATCCAGGTATTTCTGCCTTTGTAGAAGTTTGGTCCTCTAACAGAACAGAAAATTACTCAAAAACCTTTGAACAGCAGCTTCTTGATATGGGAGCAAAAGTAAGGAGACTATTTTGAAATAAATCAAATACGAAAGATCTTAATTATAAATTAGCTTGCTTGTTCTGCTTGTCACGTCTATTTCTTTTTAGTATGAGCTTTTAAAGGGCAGGAAGAGAAAAAATCAGAGACCTGAGAATAGACCAAGTGCTGTAAAATTTGTGCTGCTGACAGATGGGAAATGCATTTAAAGCCTTTCCACAACTACAGACCTCTTTTGCATTAATGATATCATGCTCTTGTTGGGAAGTATTTGGCTTACCACAGACTGTGGGCAAAGCAAATCTAAGTGTTGAAAACCTGTGGCTTACAAGGATGTACCTTATATTGTTTTATTTTCATCAACTTGCAAGCAGCTGCTGTGTTGTTAGTACAGTGTTTTCTAACCCAAGTACCATGACATTTTATTCTTCCATTCACTCTCCCACAAATTCGCATCAATTCCAGAAAGCGCTGGTAAAAATACAGCTTAGTAGTTTCAGTATATGTCTCAATGAATTTTTCTGTGACACATATAGTTGACTTGTAGGTGCAAAAGATGTTTAATTGCCAGCTGTAAAATTTCAGTCAGAGATCAAAGTCAAACTGGCATCCTCTCTTCTTGCACATTATCGATGCTTAATGGAGATTATTACAGCCCACATCATGCTCCAGAAAAATATTTGTGCGGACTCCCAGTGCTCTTTAAAATGGGCATGTGTGTGTCTCTTACCAAAATTCAAGAAATCTTGCTGATCTCCCTCCCCATATCCTTTCTTTCTGTATGAAGTAAGCTGACTGTGACAGAGCAGTTAGGATAACTGGTTTTGTTATCAAAGAAAAATAACTTGAGTAAAAGGAACAAGAAATATTTCTATGCTGTAGTATCAGACCTGTGTAATTCTATTCTAATAATGTAAAGTTTTTTTCTCACAGAAAATATGGCAGAAGCATAAGGCTTCAAAATAGTCAAAATAATCAAATTTGGTGCAGACAGATGATACAGAGGAGCCTTTTTAGCATATCCCTATGACTGAATAGGAGTGGTCATTCCCCTTCCCTATTCCAGACACTTCCCAGTTACTAGCTGAGCACATGGTCCTAAGCTGACTTGGTTAACTGTATCAGGAAATTAAATTCTAGATTAGTTATTTCTACATTGTTGATTCAGACATCTCAAAGTTCATCTGTGCAGCAGAAGATGCACAGGATAAGGGGAGGAGGTGAGAAAGGGGAGAGGGAGGTTATGCTCCTCCATAATTTGGAGGCAAAGCTACATCAAGCATCCTTAGGACATGGGCTATGAGCCAAATACTGGAAAAAGTGAGTAAGCAATTGCATCTGGAGCAATAACTTATTCTATAAGAGACTAATGGACCATTTTAAACCTAGATACTTAAATATCACAGATTTTTGTCTTCTAAGAAGTCATAATCAGCTTGCCACCAGCAATGTTTGGAAAAGCTAAATAGTTTTCTTAAAGCTAAATTCAGACCCAGCATGCTGTAAGCAAAGTATAATGATGCAACTGAGGGTGCAACAGAAAGCCATGGAGCTATTTCCATTTGGCTGGGGAGATGCTGCTGTAAAAAATGAATTCTACTGACATCACCATGTCAGCAATCACAACTAATCAAGCAGTTCTGTGTAGGGTGCTTAGTCTCCACAAAGGAAACCTTGTCTGTGAAAAATGGAGTATCTAGAACTGAAAACATCACTTGCCAGTGGAGGCTGATAACTGAAAATTTGGTCGTCTGTGCTGGCTATAATTTTCTGTATTTCTCATTTTTAAAGCATTCTCATATAATTTTTGCTAGTCGTACCTTCAGCCTTTCCCTCAAAAGTAAAGTGATTTTTATTTACAAAAATTAGTTTAAAAATTGAGATTCGTGATGCTCTTTAAGCCTGAGCTCTTTTGCCTAAAAGATGTTACTTCTTCGGATTTAGCCTGCATTAACTTGACTAATGAGACTGGAGTTTTGATTACTTGAGGCTTGTTGTGAAGTTGGGAAAGATCAAAAGGGTCCTTGACATAATGTTTAGAATAAATTTTAACGCTAATGGTTTATACACTAAAAATGGGCTGTCTGGTTTCATTAGCATTTTCCAATTATTGGACCTAAATAAGAGCTCTCTGTGTGTTTCTGCAGGTTTCAAAAACTTTGAATAAGCACGTGACCCATCTAGTCTTCAAAGACGGACGGTTGACAACATGGAAAAAAGCACAGAAGATGGGTGTAAAAATAGTTTCTGTACTCTGGGTGGAAAAGTGAGTACTTGTGGTCATAATGAATGTGGTCTATTTCAGAGATAATATATTCTAGTATTTTTTAATTGAAAAACTTAAATCCAGAAGCCATTCTATTGATGTACTTGAAATAGTGATAAATCTGTGAATAAATGGTAACTTTTCTATTACATTATTCCTATTATAAAGCATGTGACTTGTGCAGGAAGGTAAAATGTTAACTCTTAAAAAATGAATGTGGTGAAGTAATTTCATAGTATATTTGTTAACAGTGTTCTATTCTTGTGCTCTCAGATGGCATGTGTAGACAGTGAAGGCTATACTTACACTGAATACAATTCTTACATTTTCTTGTATAAAAGCCCACTTCATCAAGGTCATTGTACTGTTTCTGTACTTAAATCCTGTAAACAGAATATGTCCTAGCAAGAAAGAAAAAGATCCATGCATTCTGTTTTTTAAGATATTTGGGAAGTTCAGAACAAAACTTCATGAAGATTCTCTTCTACCATATGGAAAAAATTAGATTTATTTTTAAAAAATTAAATAAAAATTCCAACAAGCCCTTTAGAATTGCAACCAACCATTTAGAATTTACTAGTCCATAGCTGCTTCTCTAAATTTATGAAGTGCTTGTCAGGCCTAACTAAGATTTCAGATGAGGGGTAAAAACACTGTTCATGTATGTTCATGTTAAACATTCCAATCAATAATCAATAATCAATGTGATTATAGAAATTAGAATATAAATCAAGTAAAGAGGGCCTTACCTATACCAATTGTCATGTATGGAGAGGTAGTGCTCTAAGTGCAAACATTTTGGGCTTTTTTTTTAAAAAGTGGGGCACTAGGACAGAGGGTAAACTGAGGCCTACAGGCACCTAATTGTAGCCCAGTACAGCTTGGAAACTTGTTGCTATCCTTCTCCCCGATGGGACCCCTCTGTCCCACCCCCCGTGGAGCCTGCTCGTCTCGGGGCACAGGCAGCGGAGGGGGTCCTGGAGTGGATACAACACGGGCTCAAAGTATCTAGACACAGGAAGCTCAAACTTGCTGGAATAATCCCGGGTTTATTGTCTGTCGTCCATCCGGGGCAAGAGAGAGAGCGAAATGCTCTGGGTCTTATCTCTTATACCAGGGGGCAGGGGTGATTAGGGGATGCAGGGAGGTCACAGCCAATGGGAAGGGGGGGGAGGGAAAGAAGGTTTTCAGGTAGGAACTAACATTACACAAATCAGAGGTGAGTTTTACCCTTGGGAGGTACCAAGATTTTTAGATGCACTACAACAGAAACTTGTGATGCAAGTCCATTAGCCAAAAAAGATATTCATGGAGACCTTCAGTAGCAAGTGATTTTTGTTTGATTTGTTGGGTTTTTTAAGTATGTCAGATATAGAAATCACAGCCATGCAACCCAGCCAGTTTTAAAGCTTTAACACCAAGGAAGAAATACTTTAAGTTCCCAAAAATGAGGGCAATGCAAAATTTTATTTATGTGAATATATCTTTTGGGGACATGGTGCTATTTGAATGTGTGAGGATAATGATGATTTCAATACTGTTGTAAAATTAAATATGTTCTTCAGGTGACTAAGTGTATAAATGCAGAATTTGAAATCTTAGTCACATGAACTATAAACTATTGAGATTTGAATGTGCTGTAGTAAAAAGGATCTCATAGAAGTCCAGGTGAGTACCATCAGCAATGGAAGAATGAGAGTGCCTTACAGGGGAGAGTCATACAGAAATACTCTTTCTGTGATAGCAGTTCCACCACAAGAGTCTCCTGTGTACTGCTGGAAAGCATTGAGGGGATGAACACTGTATTAACATGTGATACTGTAAGGGCAGCATGGATGGAAATCCAGGTGTAAAAGCCTCTAGGAACTTTGACTTTTGCTGGATAACAGCAACAGAGGAAAAGACAAGAGAAAGCATCTAGGGGGAAAACTTAGGCTGTTTGGTAGGAAAGAGAAGGCTAGCATCTTCCTGGTATTTTTTAAGTTTTGCTGTTGGGAAGGTAGAACTAGAAAGGGATTATAAATATGACTCCTTAGCTAGAAATGCTAAGGAAGAAATTCAAATGAAAGCACAGTTTGAATAATTCAAAGAAACCGGTCTGGTATGCCAGAACACATTCTTTCCCCCAGTAAAACTTAAGGGGGAGACCCCTCTCCCCAGCCTTATAAGGAAAGGTCTGAAGGACCCTGAGATAGCTAATAATACGCAAAAGTAGCGATTTCTATAGGTCGCACACAAATGTTACTGTATTAGTATACTTTAAAAGATTGGTTAGTGAAGGAATAGAATATTCAAATGTATAGATTATATAAGCAATTGTAAAGGAGAGCTCAGCCTTTTCTTGCCACTCTCTTGTTTCTCTTGTCGCTCTCTTGTCTTTCTTGCTTCGCTCTTTCTGTGCTCTTGCTTCCTCTTGCTTCTCTTTTCTGCTCTTCTTTATCCTCTTTTCCCGGCTCTCTCACTTCTGTTCTGTTACTCTCTTTCTTAGCTATCTTAAGTCTTGAACTCCTGTATTCATATTTTACCCCCTTTTGTATTGTTCCCTCTGAGCCTGCTTTGAGCTTCATCTGCTGGCTCCTAGCAGGGCTCTCTCTCCCACGCCTTGAAATAAACTACTACATCTAACTCGACTATAGAGGTCTCTGCTGTGTCCCGGACCGTCCATACCCCGAAGCATCTCTTACATTTTCCTATTACCATTTTCTGACCAAAGCAAGGTCTTGGTACATGGCTTAGAAGGTGAAATTTGTTGGAACAGGGGGAATCATCTAAAACAGATTTATTTTAGTGCAGAGGAGGAGCCAAGCTGTGAATTATGATTGAACTTCTATGTAATCTTTTTCTTCTGGCCTTTAGTTTAAAGTAAATGCCAAAAGGTACAGAAGAACATACAGCTTAGATTGGTGTATACTGTAAGCAGAATTCATGGGAATATCATATCCTTGAGCAAAGTATAGGTCAGGAGCACTAAAGCTTGTATCAGAGATAGTAATGAGTATTCATACTGGTCATGGGGTTATTCAAATGAGGCACAGGCAGTAGAAAATTAAAATGAGTCTTTGCCAGGATACATACTAATTTTTGGTTTTTGTATTAAGAACCAGGTTGCCTGACTACGTTACATGTCTAGTACATCCGTGTCTCAGACACTAGTAGGCAGAAGACAGTCCATTGGACTCTGTAAATGTAACAGTATAAATAGGAAGGGCTGAATAGTATGTACCCATACAATTGTGGTCCTTTGTGAATGGAAACTTAGTTTGAACCTGATAACTGTGTAAGTAACTCATGCAGAGTTTTAGCACTGCTAAAAAAGATGGCTTGATTAACCAGCTGCTTCATTCAGTAGCAAGTGGAACATTCTCAAAATGGTCAGAAAAACTGTGAAATGTTATATCAGCAAGATAATAGTACCTGTCAACTTTCAGGTTGCAGGCTGGGGTTTGGTGACTCCTTTAGGAGTGCAGTGCAAAACCATGTTAGTTGTTACTTGGTCTTGATTAATATAATTAATTATACTACAGTATAAGTGTTCATAATGGAACACGAAACCCAAGAAATTCTATGACAATGCTTACATTTAAAAAGGTGTCTATTTAAAATGGAAGAAATTCTGTTAAGAAACTAAGACTGAAAGGAATAAAATTCTTGCAGGTATAAAGAAGACTGTGTAAAGCAGTCCACTTAAGCATATCAGAAAGATGATCATTGCATTTTGGTATTTACAGTAGACATTTTCATAGCATTATTACCTCAGCAGTAGTCAAAAATCAAATTAAATAGAACATAAAACTTCATATAGTGGAATGACAGCATTTTATCATGGTTATATTTGGAATGTTGCCAGAGGATGGCAATGAGCTTTACTGAAGTTTATATAAAATAGTTTTCTTACAAGATGTGATTGAAGAGACAAGAATATTTCAATCTGGAAAAGGAGTGGAGGAGGGAGACTACTGTGAACACAAAGGTTTATGTAGAGAGGCTGAATGGGAAATGAATGTATATTTTCCTTTCCAGCAGAAAAATTGTAAAGCGTTACATGAATATACCTGAAGGCAGATTCAGAGAAAACAGTAAATGATGGGTTTTAGTAACACAGGGTTAGGTTGTAGAACTCCTTATTGCAGAATCATAATGAGCAAGGATTTACATGGGTTTAAAAAATTACTGAAGCAATTAAACACTTCATTTTTTCAAAACCCAACTATAATATTGCATCTAACCATCTGATGACCTGAAATCTGTGGAGCACAGTAAACTGGGAATGTTTGGCTTTTGTTTTTATTACATGCTCTTGGGAATCTTCATATTGGATACTAAAGGATGTGGCAGTATATGGTATTGAATCTGGATGCTACTTCTTGGTGTTTGAGCTCTGAAAATACCAGACAAGGAAGCAAGTAATATACAATAGTCCAGCAATTCTTGATTCTTCTCACATGTGGAAAATTCTTTCACATTTAACAGCTAGTGAACCCCTATTTCCAGCCTGTTAGACTTGTACCCCAGTGTTGCCTTCCCCTGAGCAGTGCTTGAGCTGCTCAGAAGAGTATGCCCTATGAGCTGAAAAGTGCTGTAATACTTAGATTTCTCTATAAAAGCCTGAAACATTTGAAGGGTTTGTGCAGTATTTAGTGATCATTGCCTGGTTGAATTTTTAGTGGATTTCTAGTGCTCTCTCCAATGATTTAAGCCTCCAGCTTTTATTGGAAGCTTTTGCTCTATGTATGAGCACCTGTTTGGGCCTAAACTGTATACAGTTCTACAGTTTAGGAGGTAATTTGAGAAGACAACCCTTTAAGATGAAAATTGAAAATCAGAAAAATTTGTAACTGCAGAGTAAAGTTATTTTGAATTTTCAAACAGTTGTTTGCTTTTGCTTTATTTTTGGGGTTTTTTTCTTTTTTTTTTACTTTCTAAAAATGATAATTATGTCTAACTTTAAAAATAGTAAACAAAAGTCAAGGACTTGCTATCATGTAAAAAAATTTAAAGTGTAATGCAAAATGAGCGACAGCTTTGGGGTCACTGAGAAAAAGTTTTTTACTGCTTCTTCAACACAAATACTTCAGTGAGCAGCCAAAAAAACCTCCAAAATCTGGGAACAAAAAGAACCCAATATAGAATGGAATAGCGACGATCTGCCCAAATTAGGAACACTTAATACTTCGGCATCAAATGTGTAATTGTGACGCTCTACCTGTGTTTTCTTAGCAGGATAACTCATCCCACAAGTAAGTTTTATAAATCATTTGCATTCAGATTTGTCTGCAAAGTAAAAGATTCATAGATTTAATGCTAAAATTTTCTGCTGTTTAGCTTCTCTGTATCAATTACATCTCTGAATTAACATAACTTTTCATGTAGTCTACGTCTGGTTATTACCCAGAATTTAATAACAGTCACTGAAGTCCAGCTGCTTAATCTCTCTTTTTGATGCCCCTGAGAACTCTAAATTCAGTGACTTTGACAAATACCTGCAGTGGTACATCTTTCTCGTCCATTCCAAGCCAAGTGAGGATGAGGCCTTAACTGTACAGGCTCACACTGTGTAGCAGTTCCATCACTAGGTGTCACCAGAGCCACACGAGCAGCTGCTGCAAGGGCAATCCAGCAGCTTGGAAGGGTGTGGAAAATAACACGAGTGGGAATCTTGCCCTTCCAGAGCAGCAATTTGGAGGACATCATTGGCACAAAAATTTGGATCACATATTTGTCATAGATTTGTATTTCTATCTATTCTATATCTATTTGTAGTAGATAGACTGGGGAAGGACGGGAGGGGGTAACGTTACAGTACCTACCTTAAAGCAGGTACTTAACACACTTAGAAGGGGTTGGTGTTTCATTATTGCAGGGCTCAGACAACTCTTCTTGCAATAAAAGTTCTCATTCTTCAAACAAAACTGAGAAAATAAAAACTCACAAAACCTTCTCCAATTTACTGTACAGGTGTCGAGAAACTGGAGCCCATGTTGATGAATCCCTATTTCCTGCAGTAGACACTAATGAGGGATTTCTAATACCAATAAAAAAAGTAAGTATGTGATTTTTTTGGGGGGTGCCTACAATAAAAAACTTTAAAGTTTGAACTTGGCTTTTTGACCTCAAGCATTTGAACTATTTTCAGAACATTCTGTAAACTCTATCTGAGTAGAGTATTCAATTCAAATTATATAATAGAGATATATAATAGTAGAGATTTCAATTCAAATTATATAATGATGAGTAATCAAAAAAATGACTACTATGTGGCTTATGTTTTACAGAGTTGCAACAAATACTATTATTTTAAAAAACTATCTTTAAATCTTTAACTTTGCTGCAAGCAAATAAAAAATGTTTGTTAGATTCTTTCTTAATTAGTATTAAAGATTACTTTGCAAAATGCTTTTTTCTGCAGTTACCTGTGGTTCTAAAGGAGGTGATAAGCAGCATAAATACCAATAATCAATACCATGACAAAGTGGTAGGCAAAATAGGAGGAGGAGGTATCATTATTTTGGCAGTTCTATATGTATAATTAAGGGTTTTGTCTATCTTCTAGCACAAATGTATGCAGCCAAAAGACTATGTTGAACAAACTCCAGAAAAAAATAGAAAGCTTCAGAGAAGACTAAACCAAATGGCTAAAGAATTAGCCCTACAAAAGACAGCAGTTAATGCTGGTAAGAACTATTTTTTACTAAGATTCAAATATTTGAAGTTTTTTTTTTAAAGCACTTGATGAGGTTTTGGTGTTTGTTGGTTGGGGTTTTTTGAGTCTTTTGTATCTTGCCATGAGAAATAAAACTGATTTAATTTTTACAGAGTTCTTTGCAGTTCTGTTGTGTTAAGGCATCTGTAATGATCTTAGATCTAAGAAAACTATTTTTGCCAAGTTTTATGGAATAAAAAGAAAGAAACTTAATCTCAAGCTCTTACGTCATTTAAATATTAATATATAAATACAATTTCTTTGTGTAGAAACAGATGTACCAGTTTTATTATTTGAAGACAATGGTTCACTTATATACAGTCCTGTTAATAAGATAAAAGCTCAGTGCAATGCAATGGAAAGAAGAATAAAGGATATTAAGGAAAAAAGAGAGAATCTTTCTCCTACGGGTAAGAAGTTGAATTTTACTTACTTATGAACATGCACAAATGGCTGCTGGTTTTATTGCTGACTTTTTTGTGCACACTTTACAGTGAGACTCTAAATCTTATTTCCTTATTTTCTCTAAATGTGGATGCTGTGCATAACAAAGATTGTAATGCTGTTACTCCCACATCAACAGTTTAAAAAGGAGCCCAAAACTGATGAGATACCTGTCCAAGTACTGAAGAACAGGACTTAAAAAAGAAAAAAAATTTGAATAACCTTATTAAATAAATCTAGTTAATTTTAAAATGCATATTCTTATTAATTAAACCTAGATTGTAGTTTTCAGGGTTGTTTTTTAGTGTTTGCATTACTTTATTGAGAAAATATTACGGTCTAAGTCATTAGGTTTCACCAGTTACTGCAAAAATGTTGAATGTGCAACATTTTTTGGTGGGGTGGAATCCAAAGTATTTGAAGTTTTAAGACGTGTGTCAGCTAGACTGTCAATTTCTGATTTCAAAAATAGTTGTGAAACTAAAGAAACAGTAATACATGGATAAAAAATTAAATCTCAGTTTATTTTAGTGAGGACTGTATTTATTTTCTCTCCAAATTTTAAGGTAAACCTTCAAACATTAAAAACATTTCCGCTATATCAAGATATGATTGCCAATTGCATGATTTTACAGATTCTTTAGTAAAATGTCTCAGCAGGCCTTAAAAATACCGGTAATAATTTCTAAATAGTTTGATGTTATTCTTTAGTTTCAGAAAAATATGCTGCTGAGTTTCCTAGGAAAAATGCTTACAAATTTCTAATAGCTTTTTTGTATTCTTAGGTTCACAAATGACTCAAAGACTTCCAAGTACCTCACCAGGAGACTACTCACTTTCTACTTGTATCTTAACTAATTCAGAAGATGTGTTGCTACCTGGTAACGAACACAATATATTACAGAAATTAAAAATAATACATGGCCTTTATTTCTTACTTCAGAAAGTGCTGTATACTGAAATGAGAACTGTATCTATTTTCTCTATCTTTTATATTTAAAACAGAATTATCTTTAGTTTTTCCTTACTAAAGAAAGTATGTTGTACTAAGAAGTCAAGAAAAATGGAGCATAAGGAATACTGCTGGGTAAATGCTCTGCCTTAATGCTGTATTGCTTGCTTCACTTCCTCCTCTCTACTCATACCATTCCCTATTAATAATTTTTTGTCCTACATGGTATCAATTTTCTCTGCTCTTAACAGTGATCATATATGGTACACAGAGTGAACAGCAAAGAGTGTAATGTGGGAAGCTTAAAAGAGATCTGAATGAGGGTAATGAGGACCTGAAAGAACTGAAATGTCTTCCAAATTTTCAGTTGAAGAACTTCAGTTTCAAAGTTAGCCTAATGTGTTTTTCAGCTTATGTAGTCAAGTTTGAGAAAATAACAAGAATAAAAATAAATTGGCTTTTTTAATGTTTTATGGTTTAAGATAGATTAAAATAATTCGTGAGCAAGGTAAGAACCTTATAAAATCATTCTTGTTAAGTTAGGAGTTTGTTCCTGTGTTTTGGTGTATTAGCAGGGCATAAGATAGAAGATTGTGAAGTCTGTTGAGGTACATCAGTGAACATCTTAATAGTATTGATTATGTATGCAGAAAGTTTGTGCTTCAGACCTCATGTCACCTGTCAGTCACTGGGACAAAAAGCTCAAGTCAGATGCTGGCCTTGATCTCAGTAGGAAAGTGAGGAGGAGAAGGGAGTCTTTAGAATTTGTAATGAGGGCCACTAGAGCAGTTTGCCTGCTCTCTGTTCTCCCTAACAGTAAGCTATACCACATTTTGTTTTGAGGTTTTGTATTTTACTCACGTCGTACAGGAGTTCTGACATGTTGGCTTATCTAAGAACGCGGTGGGTTTCTTGCAGCCTGCGACAGCTTGTTATGTCTTCATGCAATATTAGTGAAAAGTGATAGCTGAACACTGAAAGTAGTTTAGCTGTTCCAGCAAACTGTTTTACTTTGGTAGCTGATGAGGTAGAACATTGTGATTTGAGAGCTTTGCCTTGCATATGTCCCTTCAGCTTTGCAACTGCACAATGTAATTTTACACTAAGAACAGATCAGAAATTCCCATAACAGCATTTAGTGTAGCTTTCATCTCCGGCACTCTGTGACAGTGGCCCCTGTGTTTGTGCCTAAGAGATATGAGACTGGTTAGTAACGGTTTGGAAAGTTCAAGAAGCCAGGTTAATTTGAGGATTGAAGCTGACTTTGTCAGTTGTCAGTATGAGAGACTGATCATATAATGTGGAATTTCTCTCCATATGTTTTATTTTTCTTAATACAGTTAGCTACACCATATGTTTAAAAATATTATCTATATTGAGTAAGCAAATAACATCAAGACTTCCCCTTACACCTACAGGAGAACTTACAGAAGGAGTATTGCTGTGATGTTGCACTCATCATCTACTTAAGCAAAAGCATGTGCTGCAATCATTTTATTGCAGAACAACAGGATTTTAAAAAATGCACGTTGATTAATCAGAAATACTAGCTTCTTTCAGAGGAATTTATTGTGAAGAGTTATGAATAGATTCTGTATAATACCTAACACAAATTAATTTCATAAGAATAGCTACAAGAAGTAATTCTAATTGTTTTTGTACATTGTATTGATGTATGTGATTGATAGTATGGTATTGTATTTAATTCCATCTTAAATGCAAAATCTTCAAGGTGGTGCTAATGCTGTGGTAGCAAAAATTTTTAATGAGTTTCCACTGTTACTAAAGCTAACTTTATCAGAATATAATCTTGCTTTCTCTACAAATGCAAGAAGAGTATCGAGTTCCTTTGCTGCTTTATTTCAAGAAAACAGAATGGAACTTGTGGGTGCTTATGACCAGATAAGGGGATAAAATAGCTAAAACTGTTGTAGGTTCTTGTCAACATAGAACGTGCTTTTTCTAATCCATATTCTGTTTAGTTTTTGTTGACTTGACATGTAATATCCAGAGAAGTGGCTAAATCTTTGTTTTTTCAGTTCAGGAATTCCTTTTATATTTCACTAAGAAATTGATACTCTTTTTGATTTGTTCAATACATTTATATTGCCACATTTTTTTGTTTTGCAGAAGAACAAATGGAAGACTGCTTGAACTCAAGTTGTGATTATCTTTGGAGAACTGAGAAGAGTCAGAGAACAGAGGCAGAAGAACATGACTGTGATACTTGGACTGATATTCATTTATCTGTAAGTGCATCAGTGAATTCTCCATCATGTAGCAATGAGCAGACGAGCTTAACACCAAAACAACGTGCCAGAAGTTTAACAAAGAAACAGATTATACAGCATACTTTGGATCATAGATTGTCTTTAGGAAAGAAATGTTTAAAGTTTCCAAAGAAAAATCAGAAGAACGAGAAGACCAAAACAACTTCAGTTGCAAATAGAAGTTCTCTTCTCGAGGGCTTTGGTAATATTACTCTTTCTAAAAAAACAGTCCAGTTAAATACTGTTCCTGCTTTGACTGACAGTCTCTCTAATTCACCTATGAGTAGTGAAGACTTAAATACGTGTTCACTGGATAAAAGCTTCCCTGTTGACAGAAATGATTGTGTTCTTAAAGACAAGAAGAGGAGGAAACTACAAACATTACCAAGTTTTAAGCTGGCTACCTCAGAACTTCGTGCATCAGGCTCTAAGGGGTTCTTGCAAGCAGTTACTACATATAGCAAGTCTTACTGCACTGAAGAGGCTTCTTATGAAGATTTCTTTTCATCATCTAATTCAAATGAAAATGAAGTACAGATACAAGTACCAAAGGAATCACAGAATCCTCCTGAAGTTTGTTCCAAAGACTCTTTTACAAGCATGGACCTGCATGATGTGAGTTTCAGTGAGCTACATAACTGCATAACTACTAAGAAAAGTAGGAATTCGTCTATTTCCGTGAATGATTTTCCAGAAAAGAAAAAAATCAAACCAGATAAACATCCAGGAAGCATACCATTAAATATATCAGGTGATGAAAAAGATGACACTGGAGGAGCTCTAGATACTGATGATATGGACAGGCTTCCACAGCATGCTCATGAAAAATCCTACAACAGTGTTAATGACTGTGCTCATACTGCTGGTAAGTTACTACATAGAGCTGGAAAATCAAAAGATGCTATACTGCCTTAGATATACTAATGCAACTAAATTGCAAAATGGACTGCCATTCCAAAACGAAAAATACTTCAGAAATACACCAGAAGAAGAAAATACTGTGGTACTGATTTTATTACTGAGTAAAATAAATGAATGCATAGAATCCAAAAGAACACACATTTGTTTTCCCATACCTTACAAGCACAAAGTCATAAGAGATAAGGAAACTGCCCACTATACACAACAAAAGTAATGTTAAACCTTCTTTTCTCCTAATCTCCTAATTTCATGTTGCTACTCAAAATCTGTTTAAGAAACCAGAGTCTCATCATATGTTCCCCTTGTTCAAACTATTTTTACTTCACAAGTGAAAATTGTTACAAAAATTGCAGTTAAGATCATAAAATCTCTGGTGGAAAAAAGATATTTGAGTTAGCAATTTCTTGTGTGGTGAAGATGAAATAGGACCTGCAAGAGTTGCAATGGAAGCATATTTTTCAACCATGACTTTTTTATATGGAACTAATATTAATTTTTAATAATAATTTTAAGAGTATTTTTCTATATTTAAGCATTTTCAAGTTGATTTAGCATAAAGTATTTTAATGTAAATGTATACTAAAATATAGAATCTCAGGAACTTCCTTGGAAGATGCTCCTAACTTACATTAGAATAATTTTCTGATTTTGATATCTTGAGCTTTGTCAAGCTTTACATAGGGTTGAATTTTTGTAACTATAATTTTGTATTTTAATAATATATCTTTCCTAGAAAATTCTGTAGTAGTGCATCAATTAATTATATAAAAGTAATTATTAACTTAAAGCACTCAACAAACTTGCTATCAGACTTATAAAATTCAGTGGAAAGGTTGAATCATGACTGTGCCTATACGTGTGAGTAATAAGCTGCTGAGCTGTGAGCTGCCATTTTGAGTTCATTACACCTGTATTTTAATATCTGGAGTGCATAATTTATAACGTAGTTTAAAAAACAGTGGATGCAGGTATACGTTATACAGGTATAAATGTACACCGATAATTGACAACTTTCTGCTCCAAGTGATAAATGAGCCATAGAGGTGATATGTTGGATCTTGTTCTCACCAAGAAGGAGGTGCTGGTGACGAATGTGAAGCTCAAGGACAGCCTTGGCTGCAGTGACCATGAAATTCTAGAGTTCAAGACCTTGGGGCAGTGAGGAGGGCATACAGCAAGCTTACTACCTTGGACTTGAGGAGAGCAGACTTTGGCTTCACCAGGGATTTGCTTGGTAGAATACCATGGGAAGAGGTACCCAAGGGATGATATTTTAGGATTGTCTCCTCCAGACTGAACAACAGCACATCTCTACAAAGATGACATGGAAGAGTGCCAGGAGGTCTGCATGGATGAACATGGAGCTCCTGGACAATCTTTAGCACAAACAGGTAGTTTTCAAAGAGCAGAAGCAGGGACAGGTAGCCTGGGAGGAAGACAAAGAAATTGGACAGCCATGGGTCTGATTAGAAAGGCTAAAGCACTATCAGAAGTAAATCTGGCCAAGGTTCTGAGGGTAAATAAAAAAAGCTTATTTAGGTGCATCAGCAACAAAAGAAAGACTAGGGAAAATATGGGTCCTCTAAGGAATGGTAGTTACCAGGGTGTGGAGAAGGCTGACATACTCACCATGGTTTGATCCAGGCTTCACCAGCAAGTGCTTCAGCCACACCACCCATGTTGCAGCAGGTGAAAGCAGGGATTGGGGAATAAAGAAATGCCTGCTGTAGGAGAAATAGAGGTTTGAGACCTCTAGCTCTGGAGCCCCAAGCACAAACAAGAAGTTGACTTGTTAGAACAAGCCCAGAGCAGGCCACAGAGATGATTTAAGGACTGGAGCACCTCCTATGAAGACTGAGAAAATTGGAAATGTTCAGCCTGGAGAAGAGAAGGCTCTGAGGAGACCTAAGAGCAGTTTTCCAGTACCTAAAGGAGGCTTACAAGAAAGCTGAAAGACTTTTAATAGGGGCATGTTGTAATGGGAAAAAAGTGAATGGTCTTAAAATGAAAATGAGTAGGCTTAAGTTAGATATTAGGAAAAAATGAGTGTGTTGAGGCACTGGAACAGATAGCCCAAAGAAGTTGTGGACCCCTCATCCCTGGAAGTGTTCAAGGTGAGGATGGATGGAGCTCTGAGTAACCTGGTCTAGTGGAAAGTATCCCTGTCTATTGCAATGGAGTTGGAAATAGATGGTCCCTTCCAACCCAAACCATTTGACGATTCTATGTAATATATGAACCCACTTTATGTGGCTTTTTGCCATGTGTCAGTGTACTATGAGATGATCCTTAAATTGTATAGTTCATCATGTCAAAGAAGAGTCTAGTTTTCATTATATAGTCATGGAAACAAATAGGGAAGCAGAAAAATCACGGAGCATTCCGAGATGGAAAGAAGGGACCCACAAAGATCACCAAAGTCCAGCTCCTGCACAGGACAGCCTCAAGAATCACACCATGTGCCTAAGAGAATTGTTCAAATGCTTTTTGAGCTCTCAGGTTTATTTGCTATGTTTAAACTTAGTTATTACAGTTAATTTTAGATTTAATTATAACTTTTAAATTCTAGCAACTGAATTATGATCACTGTTCTAGCATGTCACACTTTTATTTTCATGCTGGACAATGTGTTTAAACTAATAGATTTTAGAGGACAAAAAATAATATGATTCCGCAAACATAAGTTATTCAATGTTTATACTTTTTATCCTTTTTTTTAGGAATGTCTGTAAATCTCAGTTTGTGTTTGTAGTGATTTTAGTAATATTTGTGTTATATCATTGATGTCCGTTTTCCCATGTATGGTACATTCAGCTTCATGCATCTTTTGCACAGTCAAGTAGCACCTCAAGTTTGACAGCTTGAATGAGCTCATTTAAAAATGGAAGGAATCAATAATGTAAGAGAAGTTGTGTTTTCCCTAATAATGCAAGTTTTGCAGAAGAAAATTAAAATATTGTATTACACTTACTCCTGATTCTCTATGATGGAATAATTGATTTTTATAAATTAAGAATTACGCATTTCCTTTTCTTAATTAAATGTAAGTTGCTCCTTGCTCCTATTAGTAAATAAATAGTAAATGTTTTGGGGGTTTTTTTCCTGTATATTGTACATTAGTTGTAAGCTGGCAAATCCAGTATATTTTTAAAAACTAATAAATTCTCTTAATTCATCATATATATAGATATAGATATATGTTTAGGAGTAATCAAATAGCCATATAAAATGTTATATCTGTAAATGTTTTAAATATCAAATATTTTTCTTGCCCATTTTTTTGTTGTGATTTTATGTCAGTGGTACCTTTACCCAGTATCTTTAATGACAAGAAGATTTGATAAGCTTTCTTTCCATGGACTACTTGGAACAATTCATTTTAAAGTACAAGTGTAATATGCAAGCTAATCTGAAACCAAATTTTCAAGGCCTACTGCTTATGTGGTAGCAAGCTTCAGGTTCCTTTGTAGAGCACATTCAACGCTGCCCAGTTGTTCTGCTGGAATAAACACTGCTACTTATTTTCATTTTACTCCAGGTCATGGACTCTTCATCTGAAAGCTACAACAATAAATAATAATGTGCAAGGAATGCAAGAGTATACTCTCTTGAGCTTTTATCATGCTAACATCATTTAGAAATTTGAGCTCAGACTTAGCATTACTTTTAGTCTTAAAAATAAACTTAAGGTTTTCCGAGTGAATATTATATATTAATGGTAATGTGGAAGGCAAATATTATCTTAATTAGCAAAACTAAGACCCATTGTGCTGTAATCAGTGTAGTTCAGTGTTAAGATGGAAAATCTGGAATATCAGTATCTGTTATTTGGTGCAATAAATCATTGTGTTTAATTTAGATTAATGAGTTTTACCTTAGGTTCTAGGTCCTATGTGGCTTAATGCTGCTAAAATACTGTTTATGTCTTTAAAAGCACACGTGTGAAAACTTCCTTAGATTAGATGTGTCTTTTGGTTTTTTTCAGCTTTGGAAGAAGATAATCTCACTAAAAATATTTTATAATGTCCTCCATTGACCTTTTATTATGTCCTTTTAAAAAACAAATGAGGCATAAAGAAGAAAACTGTTTTTTCCTTGACTCCTTGTTTCATTTATCCTCACAAAAAGTTGATTTGTAACTAATAAAACAAAAGAGGACAAGTGTTTCTGGGTAGAGGAACAGGTTGAGGATTATTTTGATGTAGTCAAATTTGCCAAAGCCTGGTGGCACTTGTCCTAGAGCACATACCAAGACACATCAAATTTTTATAAACCATCAGCAGGCTCTCTCTGAGGATCTGGGGGGACTCATACATTTTCAGAAGACTTGAAGAAATTATGTTCTGTATAAAAAAATCTTGGTGTTTTCCCATGCCTCAGTAATATCTACAATAATAATAACAACACAAGGTATTAAATATTTATGCATGTGTACCTTAAGGATTACTAATGATGAGAAATTTGGACTTAATTCCTTCATAGTTGGGGTAAATACCTCTATGGATAAGTACAAAATAGTAGATACAACATAGCTTAATTTAAGTGACACTTCATAACAATATTTTTAAAGTAGAGAACTATACTATAGAAAAATATTTTATTAGATAGACATGGTTTATTTGATCAAGCAGGACTACCTCATTTTGCCCTAATCATTGCCTTTCAATTCAATGGAAATATCTAATGGAATTTTATAGATAATATTCTGGTTCAAAACTTCTCATTGGTGTTAAAATTATCATGAATGAGTAGAAGCTTAAATTGAAAAGTAAAACCACTCTAGTTTGTGGCAATGCTTCAGAGGGCTCAGTTGTTGATTTTGGTGCCAATCATTCAGCAGTGTTTTGGAAGAGCATTTAGGGGATCTCATGAACCACTGTGGCAGGAGTTACCTGCATATTGAACTTAGTTCAGGGAGACCTAACACTGGATGCAATTGCTTTAAAACGTTGTCAACTTTAAAGTCCTCTAGGAAAAGCTGCTAAAGATGAAAACTCATTATTTTTACCTGAGTGACTGCTTTAAAAAGAAGTAATCAGGAAAAAAACAGAAAATAGTGAAGTTTGAGACCTATAGGATGGAAAAGCTGTAAAGTACTTGAGAAGTGCTGATAAACAGGAATGTAATAGCAAAGAATAGCCCTTATTAATGTAGTGCCTAAGATCCGTGAGCTGATAAGCAGAGATAAGGGACATTATCCTCTGTTCCTGCTTTCCTGTAAATATGAAGAACCCACTGGAATGAACCCTAATGGGAAAGAAGTTCAAACAAACAGGTTTTAAGACTTTAAGCCCAAGTGGGACAAGTGCTGTGGAGCATGAGAATTCAGCCAAGGCCAGTAAAAAGACTATTATGCCACTTTTCACTGTTAGGCCCCAAGCCAAGCTGCCCCTCAAAAAACCCCCCAAAACCTGAAATAACCTAATGGAAATTACCAGAGACTACTGTGGGTAAAGTGGTGGAGTACATGATCTTACATCTTATGTAGTCATGTAATTAGGGTTTTCTTAAGATTCAAAATACATCTTTAATAGTTCTGGGGTTTATGCAAAAAGAGGCAATTTTTTTCTTTATTGTGTAGCAAGATGTTTTCTCCTACTTGCCATCAGTCTTCCTTAGTGATTGAAAATGATGGGCCTCAGTGAATAAAATTAACATAGCTATTAGTTACGTCTTGATTGCATGACACTATATACCTAAATATTGAATTTAAATCAACAATTTTACCTGAAAACCAGGTTTTCATTTATCACACAAAAATTACTGCAATAAATTTTGACTAGTTTAAAGATTATAATTTTTAAATGAGTAACCATAATGGATTGTAATTTGGTGATCTGTCACCTCAAGAATTAAGAGTTTAAGTAGCTGACAGAGGAAAAACAAATACTTCTTAGTTATATATACATTCTAAATAGGGGGATAGTACCCTTCAGTATTTTCCAAAAAATAATCAAAGAAACTTTGTTAACAGGAGCTAATTTTAGGCCACTTTAATCACTAACTAAACTTTCTTTAATTGATCTCATCCATTTCTTTGAAGTGAAAAATGAATAAGTGCTCTAAAATAGACGATTGAGTGGCATTTGGGAAAAATTCTCTCCCTAAATTTAGAGTAATTAAAGCTTAATTATTTAAAAGATAGATCAAAATTTTTCATCTTAGGCAGGTAAGCTATTTTTTCAAATGATTTAGGAGTTTATTTAGTTCTTAGGAAACTCATCCTGACAGAGTTGAAGAATTAAATAGTATTAATTCATAAAATGCATAATGAAAAGTACTGCTTTTTGACAGAGTGCATTCTTATGGATGGTCTGATAATGCCTTTATGTACATAGAATCCTTGGCTGCTAACAGTTTGCTAGATTTGCATGCAAAGTGTTTGAAAAGAGCTTTCAGACCTTCGTATCATTTTAGATAAAGTGTGTGCTGAAAGTGTTGATGTGAAGGTCTAGCCACTGAAGCTTCATACCCAAATATCTCTGCAGAAAAATTGCACATTTTATAATAATTAGAAAGCAATTTAGCATATTCTCTACTTGTAGTTAATACATGGTTTTCAGAATATAGGAAATTGAGAGTTTTACAACTGGGTTTTTTAATAAGAATAGATATTCAGGGATTAAGTCAGATCCTTGAGTGTCATTCCTTTTTTTCCCTAACTGAAATATAGTGAGAAAATAACTGGTACAAATTATTAAGAAGTATCTTAAGGGTACATAGCACTGTGCTATGATAAAATAATAGGTTGCAGTCCCATTTCATAAGATTGCATTTTTCATTTTAAGTTTCTAAATTTGGTTTCTAGGTGGTGAAAATGAAGTGTCAGAGTGTCATGTTACTTACGGCTCTTGCAAAATCTTTGATGAACAAAAGAATAAGCACACTGGGGACTTAAGAAAAGCTGGAAGACTCCAAAAGGTCAGTTTAACTGAACATTTGCTTTGTTAAGATCTTCAGTGGAGGATCAGAGTCCCTTTGTATATACAAAAATTAAAGTAAATTCTCTTTTGCAGTATCAATTTTGAAACTTTCCTGAATCTCACTTTTCTTGAAATATTATGCTCATGGTCTTGGTGTATACTGATAAAACTGAGCTCTCTGGTAACTTGTGCTGGCTGAGTTCATGCCAAGCTGACATCGTAAAGGAGGTTGGCAAGCCAGCTCAAACCGAAAATAGCTGAAAAGCCACTGAAGTTACCTGAAAAGATGCCTGTCCATTTTAGAGGAGTTCCTAAATGCAGCAGGTTTTTTTTATTTGTTTTATACTGGATCATTGCCAATGGATGTTTCTGCTGAATAAGGATTTATGCAAGATTTTCTTTTAGGTTCTGATAAATTTCTTAATTTAGTATTTGAGCTCAATTTAGCTGTAAAAAGGGGAGAGAGGATTGAGTCAGCACTGAATCTTTTTTAAAGTGTTTTCCTTTGTAAAAGTCTTTTAAGTAAATATAAAACTGATCAGAAAAATAAATATTAGTTCTTATAATCAATAAGTAGCAATTCACAATTGAAATGAGTGCTGTGTTCTTTTGAGAGTGGAAAGTCCTAAAGCACTAAAGGATGTCTGCTGTTTTTAACGATATGAAATAAGTTAGGTGTTTCATTTGTAGATACTGGTGGAGTTTAAAAGAGACTGATCACAGATTTTGAAACTTTTATGTAAAGGTTTTGTGCAGGTGCAGTTACTAAGTTGTTCAACATTATAAACATGCTGAAGATTGGATATTAATCTTCATGGGTCAGTGATCTCTGGATTAAAATGATTATTTAACTTGTCTGCATCTTACTACTTTTTAGTTTTTTTTAATATTTATTCCCTTTATTTTCCTAAATATATTACGTATAAAATTAATAACTAGAATGTGTAAATCACTCTAGAAATATAGAAGCATTTAAGACAATGTACTCTTTAGGCTAAAGTATCTCTCCAGAATAGTTTCATTTCCTGGCACAGAAATCTGACTAAAGCAGCTGCATGTAAATCCACAACCACACTTAATGGCTCTTTCTAAGGGTATTTGGAGAAAGTGCACTTGGAGATTTGTCAGGGTTGTTGGCACTGATTCCTTCTCCAGTGAAATTACTCAGCAAGACCATTATACATCAGTCCTAATTTTGACTAATTTCTCTTTTGATCCCAACATAATTATTGTACTGAAGAGTACAAAATATACTGAAGAGAAACATAAAGAAACACGAAATTCTTTTTTATTGCTCCCCTTTTCCAGATCGGGCCTTGCAGTCAGAGGTATCTTTAAAAGGTTCTACATGGTGTCTGCTTGTAAAGTATGCTCTGTGAAGTGTTTAACAGTAACAAGGCTAAGCAGGTGCTAGAGAAAATTCCTGTTCAGTGTTTTGAGATGGCTTCTTTTATCCACCCATTTCAGCTTGGTGTTAATACCATTTCACTCAAATATCAATAAAATTGCAGTGCATAATTTCATTCATGTCATTAGTGCTTTTTAAAACTTACTTTAAAGGTTTTCATTGTCAGCTTGACTGTGCAGATTCATAGGGAGACAATTTTGGCTGAAAAGTAAAAAGGGAAAAAAGTTCACAAAAAGGTGCTATGTGATTAACCAGATGCTATGTTTGGCAATGAGACTGCTGCACTGAAAAGTTTAAATTTTAAGAGAATATTGTTTTAAACAAAATCAGACTATGTAAATTTTTGTAAATAATTATGTTGTAAAACCTCTCTTATACCAATTAAAACATGTTCTTGAAGCTTTATAAAAGCAACCAAACATTTTACACCATTTTTATTTAATACTGTTTTTTCCAGTGGCTATGGCTTAACATTTACATTGCCAGTAGTTAGTAAAAAGTTGCAATGTTTAAGTTAGAAAATGTTAGTTAGTTTTCTTTGGCCTAAAGAAAAAACTGGGAGAGAAATGGCACGAATATTTTAAAAAATATAATTTTATGGGATTATAGTATTATGAAGAAATCATATTTATTTAAATCATAAAATAAATTCTATGCTAAAAATAAACTGCCTAAGAAATGCTATTTCCTAGATGCTTTGATGTATGTATTTCCACAAATGTGACTGTGACTCTTCAGACAGATTATATTCCTAGGAATCTGTTGTGTGATCTCTTAAATTCATTACTTTGCTTCCCAAAACAAGAGACACCTATGTAAATTACAGCTATCTTTTTTATAGAAAAAGGTTTTGAAATATAATGCCTCAAAAATATTTTAGATGCTTGCAGAATGTAATTCCCAGATAATTATTTTACTTTAGTTACAACTATGCTACAGTGAGCACTACAGTTCTAACTCATTCTGTACAGCGAATGCATGTCAGTAGGCCTTTGGAGTTCATGATGTGATGGTAAATATTAAAAAAGCCATGAAAAAACATCTTTAGGAAACATGACTAGGTCTAAGAGTTAACATTATTTAATTCTGTGTTTCTTTCAATTTTTCATTTGTAGTTTCTTTAATAGAAATTAAGTCATAGGTTCTGTATTTCTCTGCTGCGCTATTGAGTTATGCTTTTGTTTTCTTCAAAAACTCATGCAGGTTGAGTTTCTTGTGTTTCGTTTTAGATGAAGTTAAAACTAAGAATCACTTTGTTCAGATACTTGTATATCACAATTTTAGATTAAAGCACTAATAGTTTCTTTATTATACTCTTTATATAGGCACGGTTAATGTACTGTTAATGTAGAAGATGTCTAACCAAATATATGTAAAATTGTACTATCAACAAACAAAAGCGGGGAAGACAGAACAGTTTATAATGACAGCTGCATACACGTTTGGGGAAGATAAGTAAGATTTTCAAGAATCTTTAATGGCTTCAGAAAAAAATTATTTTTGGATTTAAAAAACATCACCACCACCCCGAAAACAGAACTTTTGGTGTGTTCAAAGGCAGTGAATCCAGACAGATTTATAAAATTGACTCTTAGTTTTGAGACAGAGTTGGTAAGGATAAATATTGTTGATTAATGCTTGTGAATGTCAGCAGGTGGCTTCCCTGGTCTAGAAATCTAAGTTGATGACACTGGGTTGCAGGGATAAAGTAAATGCTTTATGCATTGTGATGTGTTTCTCAATTAGTCCATGAAATTGAATACATAGATCTTTGTTGTTTTGCATAGGGGGGACAAAGTGAAATAAGTAAAATTCATCTTAAAGCCAAAAATGTATTCAAACAAGTTATTTATAGTAGTGGTGAACTGTTCAGTTCTCATTTCATTGCTTACTGTCACAAAAAAGTTTACATTTATCACAGTGTCTGTTGCATGTCACAAATTAAATACTTTGTACTTTAAAAAGATCAGAGATGCATTGTTATTAACCATTTAACTGTCATTTTTATCCAAATAAAAATTTGCTTTATAGTTTTAGAGGGATATGAGAGGTGATGGATGTCTTTAAAAGCATCTAAGAGTCTCACAGCATTAAAAATGCAATTGGAATAAATTGTAAAGTTAAAAAAAAGTTTAAAATATTATTTTCTGAGTGAAAAGAAACTCTTTAATCATGTGAAAAAAACAGTTAAGCATCATGAGGGATGATTCAAAACATATTTTTACAAAGATGACAGTGTGGACTTAACTGAAATTCCTTCAGTTTTGTTTTAAACAGATTAATCTTGGCTTGTATTTCTTTAGCTCTTGGATTTGGGTGAAGTACATCAACACTGATCTTAAGAGCTTTTTTAAGAGGAGATTTTTACAAGCAAGCTAAACTCATGCTGTGGAAGAAATAATGTGAAGCGAGTCATTGTTAGATCCTGTTATCACAATCCTTTTTAAAATTACTTTTTTCATGGCAAAACAAATTTTAATATCCTGAAAAATCTGTAACTATAAAACATGGAGCATCTTGCCAGACATTCAGGAAAGTAACTTTATGACTGTATTTTATATGTGCATTCATAGACTTTCCTAAATTGTATTAGTTTAGGGGACAACATAATTTTATGTTTTCCTTCCAGTTTTGATTTGAATAGGTATATATTTGAAATAATGATGCTTGAAATGTTACTGACTTTGAGACACAAATGAATAGGACAGTGAATTAGACAAGGTGGAAGCTTGCAATCTCCGTTGCAGTTAACAAAGAAAAAATTGGAACCACCTATCCCATGGTTTGGGGAAAATGTTTGATGTAATGGGGGTGGTCAGAGGGATAGCACTGTGAAGGATGTCTATGAATCCCCTGGTTTGGGACAGTTTTAAAAATACTTCTATATGATTGATCCCATGACTACTTTCACTCAAACTTTGCAAGGCAGTTCTGGTTCTGGACTTTCACCAGCTAGTGAATTTGTCCCCCACAATTCTCCCACATCAAGTGGAGGACTTCCAGGACAGAAGCCATACCTTTGGCTGTTTTACCTAACATTGCATGTTTTGGGCCATGTCCTAATGTCAACAGCTTTGTTATCACCCCTTTGGGGTGCTGCTATTCCTGATAGGATTATCTCCTGTAGATGAACCTAATGGATTGATTTATGACCTTGGGTCCCTAGAAATCATTCTCTTTATGATAGGCTTCATATTAGCTATTTGGGACTACCTATTGAAGTGCTGTGGTATATTTCTTAATTTTAAAAAAGTGTCTTTTAAAATCAGTACCTTTCTAGGGCAAAAGGCACATGCTCCTCTCGGCTCAAGCTGTTTCCTGTTGTTCCAGGGACACTTCCAGCTGGTGTTCACACTCTTGTATATGTTGCTGTTTGGAACACTGGAAATGTGCTGTGACAGTGAAACCTGAGGTGGTTGACTGTAGCTTGTCATCTTAGGAGGCAGGATAGTAAAGATCCAGGAACTGCATTGTCCCAGTTTTTTATATAAAATTGTCACTAAATTTCTGTTCACTCTCTTCTAAAAAAGGGCATAAAGGCTTAAGTAGGTGGAGAGTTTTGATTTTTTTTTTGTCTTCATAGAATTCAG